GTCTAAGCATGAGCACAGGGTCTCACGCCCAGAAGTGCTGTCATGATGCGTCCTCCTCGGGGCAAGGATCCTGACATGCTGGGGGAGCCCCCTGAATACCAACAGTGTCACAGACACCCCCCCACACACACACACATCCATTCATTTGCCAAACGCCCACCGAGGTAATATCGGATAATATTCTTTCCAAATGAGGCTCAAATGAGGGTGGGGAGGGAGTGAGGGCATCGAGGAGAGGCCAATATGGTCCATTCGCATTCTGGATCTAGGCGGGAAATCTCTTGTGCATTGACTAGAGTGTTTCATCCATTTACATGTAGTGTAATAACGGATCTATTTAAACCTTGAATCTACTTTCTTCCTAGCTGCCTTATCTTTGTTCTGCATGCTTTTGAAAAATCCCCTTCCCTGGCCTTTTATATCTTCTCCAAAGACTCAGTTTATGTGGCTTGGTTTACGTGACCCTCTCCATCCATCCCAGTAGGTGCCCTTGGGGTGCAGAGGCGTTAAGGGACTTGGCTGCTAACAGAAAGGAGGTCGGAGTTCAAATTTACCAGCCACCAATCTGTGGCAATCCGCTTCCTTAGGTAATGCAGACGTAGGAACTTTCTAGGGAAGTTCTACAGGACTGAGATGCGATGTAGCTGGATCCATGGAAATCAGAGGCAGCCCAGATGGGAAACCCCAGGGGAAGGACAGCGATGTTCGTGTGAGTTGCCACACGTGGCTGATGGGAGGACAGAATGAGGCCAACTCCACAGGGAGAGGGCAGCGGGGAGCTCACCTGTGAGATCTCCAGGCACGGGAGCTTGCCCACCTGAGCGCCGGTGAAGCCATACACGGAGTTGGCGCTCACCTTCAGCGCCAGCTGCCGCCCGTCCAGGACCTGCCGGCGCAGGGGGTCCTTCTCCTGGGCTAGCTCGGCCTTAGCCCTGGCAAGAAGGGGTGGGGATGACGGTCACTTGACATCAACGGTCACTTCCCGGGGCAGACAGAGGCCAGGGCATAGGCTAAGGAGCCTCTGGAAAGGGGTGCCCCTGAGAATGCCAAGGGGATCTGAACCACTTAGGGGGGGGGGCCCTCTTCCTTTAAGCCAGCGGTTCTCAACTTGTGGGTCAAGACCCCTTTGGGGGTCGAACGACCCTAAAGCACAGAGGTCGCCCAATTCATCACAGTAGCAAAATGACAGTGATGAAGCAGCAATGAAAATGATTTTATGGTTGGGGGGGGGTCACCACCACGAGGAGTTGTAGGAAAGGGTCGAGGCATGAGGAAGGTGGAGAACCACTGCTCTTAAGTCGTACAAAGAAGCAGGTCAGGTGGTCAAGTAGCCTAGTCCTGGGGTGACCCCAAGGGCCACTGTGGTCGGTGGCGGGCAGGGCTGGGAGACCACCTTTTGCGGGCGCTGAGCAGGTTCTCCAGGATCTGCGGCAGCAGCCCCTTGCGCACGGAGGCCTTCACAAACTCGTCCCCGGTGGGCGTCTTGATGAACTGCTCTGCGGCCAGGCTGGGCAGGAGGTGGGCAGACATGACTGGCTGGCCCCTCCCTCCTTCCACTCCCCACCCCTTGGCTGGAGGGGTGGCCTCAGGCCTGTCAAGCTTCCTCAGCCCTCCTGGCCCCCAACAGCTGACTGGGCACTGAGGGAGGCAGTGCCCACTCCGGCCTCAAGAGACCCACGTGGGGTGGGGGGTGGGGGTGCTTGTACCCCAGTTTCTGGGCGGCGCCAGGCCGCAGCAGGGTGGTGTAGCACAGGTTGTGAGCCATCATGATGGACGGGTACAGCGAGGAGAAGTCCAGGGTGGCGATGGGGACATCATAATACCTGGGAGGCAGGAAGAGGGGGAGTCAGATCGCCCCCCACTTCCTACCACCTAGGGAGTAAGGGGGAAGAGTCAGTTCATCCCCCCTATTTTCTACCACCTAGGGGGCAAGAGGGAGGGGTCAGGCTGGGCCTTCACCCCGCACCACCAGGGGCCAGAGCAAGCAGGCCTCAGGCTAGGGCTCACCCTTTGAGGGGCTCGATGACCGTGGCCCCCGTGTAGTCCTCCCCGCCCTCTGTCTTCACTACGGGCATTACCAGCCCCTGGCGCATGGCCTGGAGAGAAGAGAGGGACGGCTGGGTGGTGGATGGGAAGGTGGGGGCGTGGGGGGGTCCCTGAAGAGAAGAAGAGTCTGTTGGGCCTGGGGGTGGGGAACACTGGGACCCACTGACCTGCCGCAGCAGCTGGGACACGACCTTGACCTGCTGGCCCCGGCTGAGCAGGTAGCCGAGAGGCACGCCGGTGACGCGGGCCATCTCCACGGCGTTGACCAGCACCATGAGCCGCTCAAGCAGCCGCAGTGGCAGGAAGGCGTCCTTGAGGCAGTACACAGCCAGGCGGCGGCGAGTCTGCTCGTTCCCGTTCTGGGGGTGTGGGTGGCGGCGTTGGTGTGAAGGCCAGGGGTGGGGGCGAGGAGGGGGCACACGGAGTGGGGGTGGGGGGACCCAGGGCCAGGGGGTCAGAGTCAGAGGCCAGAAGAGCGGACGAGAGGGTGACACCAGGAGCTAAGGCAGGCGAGCGAGCGCCTAGGAAGCTGGGGTCAGAGGTCAGGAAGGTGAGTGGGAGAGGGAGGTCAGAGGTGATAAGGCAGAAGGATAAGAGGAGAGGAGAGGAAGTAGGGGGCCTGAAGACAGAGCTGCGGCCACAAGGGTGATGGCACCGGGTCTAGGGGTCAGAGCCGAGGGGGCGGCTGAGGCCGGGGGTCAGAGGTCGAGCACCTGCAGGTCAGTGATGATGCTATGCTGCACATCCTCCTTCTGCTCGCCCAGGAAGTGGAAGCTCACAGCATTGAGCGTGTAGGAGCGCAGCTTGTACTCCCGCAGCAGCACCTGGGGCAGAGCGGGGTTGGGGCGGTGGGGCACAATGGGAGGGAGCCCCTCCGCAGGGGCAGGGGGAGAGGGCCCTGCAGACACAGCCCAGAAGCGGCCCACCCACCGGCCCCCACACCTGCAGCATGTCCATCTGCACTCGGCCCACCATGCTGACCACCTTGCTGTCCCGCCGGCCCGTCTGCTTTGACTGGAAGGACGAGTCTCGGATGGTGGAGCGGAGCCCCAGGACGCGGCCCAGGAAGGGGAACCTCGTCACCTGGGGTGGGTGGCAGGGAGGTTCGTGGTGAGGACAGTCCAGGGGGGACATGGTGTGGCCAGCTGCCCGGGAACCTCCGGGCACACCCCTCTTGCAGGCAGGCCTCAGAGACACCTCAAGGGCCCTGCCCAGGCAGCGGTTCAGCTTGTGGCTACTATCAGAAAGTCAGCGGTTCGAAGCCACCCAGTGACTGGAGACAAAACCCTGAACTTTGCTCCTACAAAGACAACAGCCAGCCTGGCACCCCCAGGGCGGTCCTACTGGGAACCACCAGGGGTGGGAATCCATGGGACACACACCTTCCAGCCCCAGGAGAGAGCAGTTTCACTAGGGCTGCTTCAAAACTGGCCAGAACACGGGGAGAGAGGGAAACGGAGTGTGTCTTCCAGCAGATTTGGACTCACAGGGGTCTGTATGGCCGACGAGAACTGCACCTGGGGCAGTTCTGAAGCTGCTTGTAACCTTTGCTGAGGCAGGTCAGGTCACCTGTGGTCAGCTGGTGGGTTTGAATGGTCATCCTTTTGTTTGGTGGCCCACCGCACCTCTATAGACACACGTGTATGCGGGTTCACAAGGGATTACGATGTTGCACCTCTCTTTTCCTTACTCTTTGTTGATTTATTTTAAAGGACAGCTTACAAGGGTGGGGGGGGCGGTCCCTGACCCTGACACGCCTCAGTTCACACCCCGGCACGCACAGGCCTCGTTTTACTTCAGACCCCACAAAAGCTTTGGTCACTTTTGGGACACTGGCTAGGCGGGGGCAGAATGGGCTGCGGGGACTGGCAGTGGGCAGAGGGACCCTGAGGAGTCTCTTCCCCCGACCTCTGCTCTCACCTTCAGGGTCTGGGCCCGAGAGATGAGGTATGGAAGGTCGAAGTTTTGAATGTTGTAGCCTGTGATCACGTCGGGGTCCATGGCTTGGATAAAGCTGGACCAGGCCTGGGGAGGTCCGGGAAAGAGGCACGGGGTCACCCAGGGTGTGTCCCTGCTGTAGACACCCATTCTCTTGGAATGTTCCAGGAGCTACCAAGAGCAGCCCTCCTGCCCATGGTGGCAAGGTGAGGCTGGTATATCATGGACTGGAGGGCAAATATTTGCGCCCTTGACACCCAGGGTATCCGAACACAACCATCCTGAGTCACCACCCAGAGACCAAACCAGGGCTGGCTTGGATGGGCGGAGCTATGTGGGAACCGGCCAATTGGATTGGCTGGCCTGGATGGGCGGGGCTATGCCGGGGCTGGCCAATTGTATTGGCTGGTGGGCAGGCGCGGTGGGGGGCGGGGGGCAGGGGCGGGTACCTGCAGCAGCTCCTCCTCTCGCTCATAGCTCTGCACCTTAGCACCCAGGATTGGGGCGCAGGGCTTGAGGGTGAGCGCCAGGCGCAGGAAGGGCTCGGGCTCACCCCAGCGCAGGCCCAGCGAGCAGATCTGGATCACAGGGTCCCGCTCCGGCTCAGGGAAGATGCCTGGCAGGGGAGGGGGTATGCCGCTAAGGTGCTGCCTCCCTGCCCCACACCACCACCCACAGGTCACCCGCACCCAGAAACCAGGTGGGCCAGGCTCACCCTCCCTCCCCTACGATCTCTAATCTCCACACTGAAGCCCGAGGGGGCCCAAACACGTGTCCCTGACAACTCTGCGGGCTTCCCAGAGCTCCGAGACTGAACAATTCACCTCTACCCTCTCTCTCCTCCCTCACTGTTCCGGCCACATGGCCCTAACCCTCCTCACTGGCCTCCACGACCGCCCCAGGCCTTGGCACTTGCTGCCCCAGTGCTGAGAAGGCTCTTCCCACCCCTAACTCCTCACAGGACTGGCTGGGCCCTTGAGATCTGCTGTCCCCTATCACTGCACCTCCCTTCCTATTTACAATAATCCAGGGACTTGAGTCCCGATGCAGGTGACATCTGCCACTCTCACAAACCCACCCCCCCCCCCCCCCCCCACGAGTCAGGGGCGGACCTTTGCGGCCAGCACACTCGATGTCGAAGCTGAGCACACGCAGGGGTGCGATCCGCTGCCACGGCCCCTCTGGGGGGTGACTGACCACGTCGGACCACAGCACGTCCACCTCCAGCTGACACAGCGTGGTCTGGGGGTGGGATGCGGGGGACACACACCAGTCTGTGTCAGCAGAAGCATGGCCCCACCGCCTTCTGGCCAACACCTTCCTCCCTAGGGCTGCCCGCGCCCCTCTCCCTGGCCTCTGGGCACCTTCTCCTGGGGCCTCGGGATGTACTTCCCCGGTGGCAGTTCCAGCCAGTTACAGCCCACGATGTCTGCGTCCACCATGAACCTGCCAGGTCAGGAGGAATGAGGGGTGCACCAGGGGGCCGGGGGAGCACCAAGGGGCAGCAGAGGGAGAGGGGGGGCCATACCGGATCTCAAAGTCCACATTGGCCTCGTAGGGTGCGAAGCTGGGGGTGCCCAGGCCCGCCACGCGGATGCCCTGCTCCAGGAGCCGACGGGCGGGCGCCACCAGACGGGGCAAGGCCAGCGTGATGCGGAGGAAGGGCGAGGGGCCGTGCCCGTGGTAACCGAACATGCCTGGGAAGACACGAGGCTGGGACCCCGGCCCTGTCCACCTCCCCGCCCGCCCCGGGCCTCCCCGGAGCCCTGGGCCCTCACTCTCGCGGGAGCACAGCTCCACCGCCAGCACCGCGGGCCCCTTCAGCTCCTTGCCGGCGCGCTGGTCCCTGCTGATGGCGGCGTTCAGCTCCTGCTGCAGCTCAGCCAGATGCTCGGGGCCGAAACCTGTACGAGGGAGGGAGGGAGGGGTCAAGGGTCCCCCAGCAGATTGCCAAGGGTGGGACGGGGCGCCAAGGAGCCTCCCCGGCGCTCACCAGGGGGTGCCGGAGTGTAGAAGTAGGGTGCGAAGCCGTGGATGTGGCAGCAGACCGAGACGCCAGCGTCGGTGACCCCGAAGGCGCGGAGCACGGGCACGGAGCCGCGGGAGGCCGGGGGCGTCCCGGGCAGCGGGAGGGCCCGGGCGGGGCCTGCAGAGCACAGGGGGGGGGGGGGGGGCAATGTATCACCACAGGCCCTGCTGCCTCCAGAGTTGGGTGCGGCTTCAGTATCCTTGCCGGCTGCCACTGCGACCACCCAACTCCTGGCGACCCCACAGCACCACTGCCAGGTAAAGGGCCGGTCCTCCGCCCCATTAGCGGTCTCCAGGTTTCACGTGGCTTGACAGCTCTCTGAGTTTGGGAAACAGATCACCAGGGCTTCCCCCTGGTCAGCCCTAGCTCAGCTGAGATCTGTCCCACAGGACGGCCACTCGCAGGTCCCCACGGACACTGAGTGGTAGCCATCAGGAGGCATGTTGGCTGGGAGCTCAACTGGGGTTTCCAGTGTGGAAAGGGGCATTGCCCCCACAACACCCCGACTGCCCCAGGGACTGGCTGGTGTCCCCAAGGATACCAGGTGACCTGGTTTGGAAACAGGGCTCCGGAGACGTGATCAGGGCAGTGGATGTGAAGTCAGGCTGGGTGGGTATTGCAGGTCCTAGCATACTGTGTGTGATATCCTTGTAACAGAGGGAGGAGAGAGGCAGACAGAGGGACGGCGCCCCGGGAAGAGGGTGTGACACTGTGCCTGCCAGCTGAGGCCACACATGCGGAACACCCGACGAGACCAGCAGCCCTCGGGCCCATTCCTACTACAAGGCCCTGGAGGGCAGGGCAGACCTGCCCTGCAGAGTATCCGAGGCTGTCATGGGAACACACACAGCCTCATCTTTCCCCCTTGGAGTGGCAGGGGAGTTTGAACCGCCAAACTTTGAACTTTGGGTTGGCAGCAGAGTGCTTCAACCTTGCTGCCACCAGGCCTCCTTAACCACAGGGATAAGGATGAGGATTACAATCCTAATCCCTTTTTCTTTTTGGAGGGGGAGTAGCGCAATTTAATCCATAATGCCTCCTAAGAGCCAAGCAATCCCTCCCAGGGCCCCCAGACTCACCCACGTAATGGTCAATCTCCAACTGCTGGAAGATGAGGGGCTCTGTCTGGGGGTCCAAGGGAGGCGGGGGAGGCCGAAACCAGCGGGGGTCGAGAGCTGATGGCGAGAACTGCCCTGTGTGGAAGGAGAGAAGTGGGGGTACGTGGAGTCATGGTCAGCCTTAGAAAATAACCTTCCCATCCCAACCACCACCCCTCAGTTGGGTCCAGGGTAGCAACAGGTGAAGGTGGTCAGGACCCAGTAGGGAGCTGGTCAAGGGTCAGGCTAAAGGCGGCAAGGTACAAGAGGCAGGGCATTGCCGGAGAGGTCAAAAGGTGGCCTCTCATGGGACCTGATGTGGG